TCTATATGTACTGACGCTGGTTAGCTGCTCAGCCAGCACTGATTGTCTATATGTACTGACGCTGGTTAGCTGCTCAGCCAGCACTGATTGTCTATATGTACTGACGCTGGTTAGCTGCTCAGGCAGCACTGATTGTCTATATGTACTGACACTGGTTAGCTGCCCAGCCAGCGCTGAACGTTTGTATTCATTGAGACTGTTTAGCTGTCAAGTTAACATGACTATTTATATACGTATAGATTGTTTAGCCACCCAATCAGCACTGATTGTTCGTATATACTTCAGTGTTGTACATTTTAAGTTTCAAACTATCCACGGCAAATTAGGATTGGTAACACGGTGTCAGTAATAGAACTGAATGGGTAGTTAGATGCCTCAGTTACTCCCTTCTGCTGAAACCATGTAAAAATAGGCTTAATAAAAAACCCAAGAGCAATGTCTCTATACGGAAATATTATAAAGACGATTAAGTAATGTTCCTTTTTGTCTGGGTTGATATGAGCTGTTATAGCTCGAAACTGCACTTTTCGGGTTATTGTGTATTGTGTCTCGCAGCCTACTGTGAGCTAACAAACGAGTCTTCAAATTACAAACGGCAGCTTTTAAGGTTTAACAAACGATCAGTATACTAGGGTAAAAACTTAACAATTACACTTAACTCTCTGATGTAAATATAACCACATAATTATAAATTATCATTAACTACTAGTGTATATTAGTTGATTTAGTTAACGAAGAACTTATGAACGCAATCATTTAATACAAGCTAAAATGTAATTACCATAGATTTATTATTATTATTATGGTTTATACTGATTCCGGTTTCTTCTTATGGTAGACACGAGAGAAATGGAATAGAAGCGGCATCTAACGGGGCTTACAATGCTGTCTCCTTGATTGCTAGCATCGTTGCCAATTTGATCGCCTTCATCTCCTTTATTCACTTTGTAGATTTTATATTTAATTGGTTCGGTAGTCTCTTAGGCTGGGATTTTATATCTTTTGAGGTAAGTTTTAGGTGAAACGAGAAGTAAGATTATTGTTCAGTCTTTCAATAGCGCCATCTAACTTTTATTTTGTGAAGAAATATTAGACTACAAGATATATTTTTTTTCACTTATTTACTTCTAAATTTTATGAGAGATTTTCAAACCTGTTGACAGATATTTCATTTCAAAGTTCCAGTAACATTGTTTAAAAAAAAAAACTAGACCCCTATTAATTAATATTATGTGGAATTGAAGTTTTTTTAATACTGTCATTTTATTTATTTATATAGTGGTTGATCGGTAAAATATTCACACCTTTAGCCTTAATAATGGGTGTAGAATGGGACGAGTGTCATCTAGTAGCTCGACTTGTTGGAATTAAAACGGTGGTTAACGAATTTGTTGCATATAAACAGCTGGGTGATATGAAACGCCAGAACTTGCTATCGGTGAGTCTTATATTTGGTTTATCTATCAAATGGACTTCTTTCTTATCTTAACATTTGTGTATCAGAAACGACGTGTTCTTATATAAAATATACAGCATACTCGTATGT